AGAAAACATTTATTCATTTCTAAAGTCATGCCTGAATTTTTTGGAAAACTTCTGTTTTCAACTTGTGTAATTTGTATCAGGCATTTACAAAAACAGTCTGGGAACTTTTTGTAGTCCATTAACAGACATGTAGCAGGAATGATCACAAAGAAAAAAAAAATGAGCCGATCAGTATTAATTTTTGTCATTTTAACTATGGCACTTAAAAAAAAACTTTTTTACATATATCTTTGTTATTGATACACGAAAGAAAGTGGCCTTCTCAAATAGAAGGAATGTATTATCCTAAAATATTATAATGAATAATCACCTCCCTTGGAAGAATGTCATTTTAACAATAGTAAAAGATTTGACATAATCAGCCACTAGTATTTCTCAGATATCCTGGGTTATATTGTTTCCTAAATATTCATGTTCAATCAGAACCTCAAAAATGTGATCATATTTGGAAATAAGTTCTTTGGAGGTTAATCTAGTCAAAAGAGATCACAATGGATTGTGAAGGGTCCTAACATAATGACTGATTTTCCCCAATAAAGAAAAATTTCATGAGTATTGCCTCAGGAAGACAAGAAGAGATTGAGTGAGCTGCATGACTTTCCCTGCAAGCTAATGAACACCAGTGATTAATGGCAACAAGCTAGAAGGAGACCGAGCCACAACAACAACAGCAACAAAAATCTTCCCTAGGTGCTTTTAGAGAGAGCGTAGGCCCACCAATACTTTGATTTTGGAGGTGTGACCTAAGAATTGTGGAGCGTATAGTTCTGTCATTTTAAACCACCAGTTTGGAGTCATTTTTTATGCATCCTAGGAAACAGAAACAGATACATTGTCCATGCTGCATTCTGTTGTTTAGGTAAAAATGCCAAAGGTGACATCCAAGATGCATAAGAATATCCTACAGAGTAAAATACAGAACCCTGGCTATAACATTCTCATTCATTTCAACTGAAGTCTGTGTATGGAAATTCTGTGGATTTCTGTTTCTTTACTCTTCCCTGTTTTGCATCATGGTTGACAGAGAACTGAATTGGGTAAATGATACAAACAGTTTAATAGGGGCAAATTCCTGAAGTTATGCTAAAATTAATAAAAATATTTGTATTGATCAGCTTTCCTGTTGCTGGACAAAATACCCTGAAATGGAAGGGTGGGGGTCATTTTAGCCCATTGTTTCAGAGGTTTTAGTCAATACTTATCTGACTTCAAGGCAGAAACATGGCCGAGGACCACACAGATGCAAGCTGCTCATCTCATGCCAGCTGGAAGCAGAAGAAAAAGCCAGAGAAGAAGAAAGAGACTGAGAACCAGATACAGTTCCCAAGGTCATACCTCCATGACCCGCGTTCTTCGACTAGGACCTTTGGTCTCATTGCCCACTCAGCTCTGGGTTAATCTGTTAGTGAAGTTAGTACCCTCACACTGGACATTGCTCTGTCCTTTCAAATTGACAATCAAAATTAACTGACACAATATTCTAAACCGAATACAATATTCTAAACCTACTGATGGATTGAGAAAACCCCAGACCTTTCCAGGGAAAATAGTATACTTCTATAGATTTTTTCCTAAAAATTTTGTGGAAAGCCACAAATCACCTTGACTTGGACTTAGAAAAGTTTTCTTTAACTCCACACATGTATGTCAGAATTAACCTTTGAGACAAAAGCATGTTATGTATGTTTAAGAACATTTGAACTGTTACAATTTTTAGTCCTTTAAAACAGCAATTTCAGGGATTTTTCTTATGACTTGGAGTTTAATTTCTGTCTCCATAGAAGTTCAGTATACAAATGATCCATCACTGCTATAATTTTTGAAAGACAAGGATTAACTTTGACATGGCATAAGAGAATAATAGAAAAATTTACACAAAATTTAAAGTAAGGTTGTACTATAAAGTAAGGTTTTACTAAATTAGAATTGGGAAAAATATGCCATCTAACAACCTTTTATATAACTGACAGTAAAAGACAATGACAGATCAAAATTAATCACAAACCACTGATCATGCCTTCATTGCTGAGTTAATGCTATGTGCTGAAGCTCCCATGGCTCTTTATTTCTTGGCCTTGACCGATTCTGATTCTTTGATACTGACTTTTCACAGCAGGATCAACTTTCTATCTGATAGAGGTGATTATTTGGTGGTTAGAGCATGCTTTGTCTCAGCTGTTTCCTTAATCTAAAATCCATGATTTCAATGCTAAGGAAGTTTTGTATTTACAAGAAATATATATAGATTGTTTTCTTCAACCCCATGTAATAAAGGTAATTTTTCTTTAGAGAGGCATTGAGAGTATTAATTTAAATATAAAAGTAAAACTATCCTCTGTTTCTGGAAATATAACAAACTGTCTACATATTGATTTCTTGTTTCTTTTTCTTATATTTTGAGTTTTCAGGGGGAAGTCAAGACACAAACATTCAATCATTACTGCTCAGCACAATATCTGGCATAGAGTAGAAAGTTAATAAATGGAGTGGAAATAAATGAACAAAGTAAGGGGCAGCTGAACCAAAATTACTAAATTGTGGCACTGAATGCTGAAATAAGTGAACTGGCTTATGACCGAGAAATGGAAATTATCATGGAATATCAGGGTGGAAATACTATCTTATTCTCTCTCTCTCTCTCTCTCTCTCTCTCTCTCTCTCTCTCTCTCTCTCTGCTGGAAAGTCATACATTGCAATGAGATTCATAATTACAGAATATATAGGGCTTTATTTTCCACCAGCCTCCTATGATCACACAAAACATGTATTAACCTGCCAACATTCTATAAAGAAGCACACATAAAATCCTGCCTTTGGCAGATTGTGATTTAGTTACAAAAAGGCAAAGTTTACATTCTTTATTACAAGTAAGCAATGAAATATATATGTAGTGATATGTGGCGAGATAAATGGGGACATTTTATTTAATATCTGCACCAGACTCAGTTTACATGTCACACCAGAATCGTTCAGCATTGCCCGTCTACCCTCTCCACAACTCTTCGCCACCTCCCTTGTTTCCTCCTGGAAGGATGCTGACTTCAGTTGCTGTTGACTGTGACTATCACTTCCCAATATCCACACAAGCCAGTGTTCATTGGCATTGCTGACCTTACCAGCCAGATGGGGCCAGCAGAAGCTGTCACTTCTCCAGTGGCTGTCTGATAACACCTGGAATTGTGGTGGATTTAATGGCCCCTGAAAGGACCTCAGTCAATGAAAGACAAGGAAATGGCTCATAAATTATGTCTTTCTCCATGAATTCTAGGCATTGCCCTTCTGGAGACATTATTTGGGACCAGTAATGCCCTATTTTTCTAACAGAGAAGACTGGAAAGCTCAGAAGCATACTCCCTGGAGGTTTTGCTATTCTTCTTTCTTTACTTCTTTTTTTCCCTTCAAATGTACTACTGATAAGCTTTTGAATTAAATTTTATTTTCCAGGAAACCAGAACAAAAACAGTGCTTGACAGATTTTACTTGGAGAACATGCTTACCATATTGCTATTTAAAAGAGCTCATAAAATGTCTTACCCTTGAGGTAATGCCAATAATTTTTGATTCTGAAAGTTCTTCATAATATAGAACAATTAAAAAAAAAAAAAACAGTGACAAATCATCCTAGTCTGTCCAGCACCAAGGGATTTCCCAGACCTGGGACTTTTAGTCCCAAGAAGTCCTGGGAAAACCAGCAGAGTTCATCACTCTATAAAACCATGTAGAGATATTTACAAAAACAGACCTATCCCAACAGACACCACATAGAAATTACTGATACAATTTTACAAACATAAAACAAAAGAAACAATGTATATAGGAAGGAATGGAAGAAAGTGGAATCTCCAGGTGGCAAAAATTAAAGAAACTATCTGAAATAGACAAAGAATGGAAAACTGAAAATGATACTAAGAAATGTAAATGAAACATGTATGGAAAATGAGCAAGTTCTGAAGAGATACTAAGTGACACTGTTCCAAATTGAAGAAATAACACAACTTCTCAGATTGGTACACTATATTAACACCCAACGAGTATAAAGAAGAAAAAGAGCCACAGCTAGATAAGACATCAAAGTGAAACATCAACGAAAAAGAGAAAAAATTTTAAAGTATTTTTAATAAATTATACAAAAGGAATGACATGACATAAAAACGTAAAGAAAAGTGCCTCATTTATCTGGGCATTGTCTTGCAAATGAAACTGTTGCTAGTCTTTGTATCTTAGGGCATATAGATGAAGAAAAATAGAATATCTTGTGAAATAACATCAATTTGTGAAACTCATAGTGATGACAAAGTTATGCCAGCCATTTCACATACATGCTAAAGAAAAATGGGAATGGATATCAGAAAGAAAATGAGTCTAAATTTATGCCCCAAACTGCACTCTATTGTTGCCTACTAGAATGGTGTTAGTATGGCCTGATGTGCAAAGCTTTGTACCCAGTGTTGCAATACATAACACCCTTCAAAATAGTAACAACTATAGTCAGAACATAAAATCCAGGAAAACGCGTAGGAAGATGGTACATTTGAGAGAAGCTGTTTCACTTGCCACATCAATTGTGCATTGGTTTCATTGATGTTTAGGAAAGTAGTGACAACTCCAACACCATTATCTCTGGTTTTATTGATACCAGTCATTCTAACCGGTATGTGGTGATATATCTTTATGGCCTTGATTTACATTTCCCTATTATTAGTAGTACTGATCATTTAGTTTTCATACTGGTTAGCCATTTGTACATCTCTTTTGGAGAAGTGTCTTTTAAGTCTTTGTACATTTTAAAATTGGGCTATTGCTACGTTATTATTATTGTTATTGAATATTCAGTTGTAGGGGGTTCCTTACATATTTTAGATTTGCCATTCATAGTTGAAAATATCTTCTTTTATTATCAAGGTTGTCCTTTTACTTTATTAACTCTTCCTTTGCCTTACAGAAGATTCTTTAATATAACCCCACTTGTCTAATTTTGCTCTTGCTACTTATGCTTTCAGTATAAAAAATTTTAAATACATGAAGTCAAGATATCCAAAGACTGCATGACATCAGGAAGCTGAGAAATTGTTGAAGGCAGAATCAGGAGCATTGGGTGCAGAGAATGATGTCCAGGGACAGAGGTACCTAGTGTCCAGTGGCACAGTGAGATACAAGAACAATGGCCTAGATGTCCTCTAATGTCAGTGACAACTGTTTAATGAGTCATGACTAAGGGTGTTTCTTGCTTTGTAGTCAAACTTCATTTGTCCCTATTCATTTTCTTCTCTTGATCACCAGTTTCCAGAATGATTATGAAAAATATTAATTTCTCATTAAGGTAAGTCAGAACCATTTTCCTAACATGCAACACTAATATACCCTCACTTTCATGATACAAAATCATGTTAGAGGGATTTTTAAAAGCATTAACAGGGGACATAAAATAGATACACCAATTGTAAAGTGGACAACTTACACAAGATGAGAGCAGGAAGCATCTGAAAAGTCACATCAGTCAACAGATTGTCAGGGACACATTCTCAGGGCATTTAGAGGACACCAACATCATCTGGTAGCGCCAGGAGAAAGGCATCCTGGGGAAGATAAAACATACATTTTGTAGGAAATAAGCAAATGAAACAGATGAACAAAAAGCAGAGAGTTTTCAGAGTGCAAGTGCTGGAATAAGTACTAGAAAAGGAGACTTCAGATGCCACGGTTCAGGACAGTAAAAACCAGAGTCTGCATAAAAGAAACGTTTGATTATGGCCATAGATACTAGTAAGGAGCTTGTTTGGGCCTATAAACCTGCAGTGGTTGATGGTTCTCAAGGGAATGAGTGGTATTATCATGCGAGGCAGCCCATGGAAGGATCACGGAGAAAGGCTAGGCAGGATACTTAAGGCAGCTGGATGTAGTGCTCAGTAAAGAAGCCTGCAAAGATGGCTTGAAGGCTGGAAGAAGAGAAGATGCACTCAGGTTTCTGGATTCTGGGACAATGTGTAGAGTGCAGATTTTTTTTTTTTTTTCAGTTTACTTGGAAGAGAACTCAAAGCTGGAGATTCAACTTAGGAAGGCAACAGAGTTAGGGTGGCTTGAGAGGGATGATTTTGTGGCCAAAGATAACAGCTAGAGAAAGAAGAACAGAGAGCTGTGATGTGAATCTGTGCCAGACAGAATTCAGTAAATGGCCAAATGTTAAGTTTTATACCCTAGTCCTTAAAGTTAATTAAGCAAATAGTTAGAATACAAAGATTCATCTGCAAACCATTTTCCCACAAATCATGTACATTTATGCAGAAGTATACTTACATGTTTGGGTCTCTCTAATGAGAAACCATCCTGAAACAGAGTCTATAAGGACTAAATAATGACTTAGATGGGCAGACCCAAAAGTTAGTAAAAATACAAATTCACCAGCGCAGTCAAGAACTAAGAAAAGGAGAAGAGAGAAGGAGCATTTATTCTAAATTTTATTGCTTAGGCATAATGCAGGGAGAACAGTTGCACAGCTCTTTAGTAAACACCACGGTCAGTGTGGGTCTTGTCCTTCTGCATGCCCTGAGCCTTGTCTCAGGAGTCATCTCTCTGATTAACCTAGGAAGTTCTTCTCTGCGGTCTCCTAGGGACGCAGAGAGGGCTGAGATTCCTCCAGGAGAAGCAGGAGATACCCAACATTCCCCTCTCTATATTGTTAGGAACCTAAATGGATAAGATTTTTAGTTAGAAGACTAGAGTGTGAGTAAAATGAGCCTTTCGCAAGGCAGTGAGAGCTTTCTGAATTCCATCAGAAGTGTTTTTTTTTTAAATTTGGCAATTAGTGCTTTTCAGTTTAATTTAAAGCTTTGCAAACACAGCTTTGAGTCCACATCCAACACCTCTTTCCAGATAGATCATTACCTTTCATTCATCTCCATAAAAAAGTATTTCCAGTCCTTACTGACACAAGTAAAAATCTTGTTGCTTTTCTTTAAGCTTTTAGTAAAAACTTAAAAAGAAACTATGACAGTTTCTTAAAAAATAATTTTAGCTAAGTAACTTGCTATTAAGTTTATCTAACCACTATAAAATGGTCTTATAATATGAAAAATTAAATAAACTTTGCATTGACTGAGTAACTCTTGGGGAAATGCATGGTATTATAATGAAATATTGGGGCTGGAGATTTAGTTCAGCACATAAATGCCTGCCTGTGAAGGGCAAGGTAATGAGTTTGATCCCCAGTACAAAAAAAAAAAAAAAAAAAGACTCAAATATAATGCAGAATTGCTTATAAGTACAGAAGACATAATGTAGTTTAATTAAAATATTGAATTCCTAAACAGATGAATCCAAAACCACCAACCAAACAAAATGAAGCAACTACCAAAAAATTATAATAAGGCTTAGGATCATATCAAGCATTTTAGAGACTTTATTTTATTTAAACTGAGATCTCATTGGATCATTTTAAGGAGTAAAAAATGTATTTATGAGAAATCAACCTTTTTGTTTAGCTGTCCTCAAGAAAAACAGATTTTTGTATGTGAAAATACCATTCTGATTTGGCAGTATTGCTCATGTTTACAGTAAATTGATTAAATAGTAAATGAACATATTATTTGTACATAGTTGCCACTTTATCTTGGAGAGAGAGAAAAGTTATAATGAATTGTGCAGTGAATTAATTTGTGAAAAGTATTTCTAACTTGTCATGATGCCACATGAATGATTATGTAGGTAGCAGTACAGATAATAATAGCTGCAGACAAATCTTTATATTCTGCTCAATCTGCCTATATTGCATTAATTAAACATGGTCTTTTGGATAGCCATCCTAGTATAGAGAAAAGAGCATTAAAAAATCCTCAGCCTCATATGGGAGGAAGGTGTAATGAGATATTCATTTTCCAAATGTGAAAAATTCATTATTCTTATTGACAACACAGTAGAAGTTTTGTTATATGGAAGATTCTTAGATCACGAACTATGAGGTCCAGTGGTTTATTTTTGAGAGTTGGGAATGTGGGAGACTTCTATGCTTCAATAATCTTCTATTTGGTCTTTTAATGTAATAGTGATTTTACTTCTGCTGTTTTATTTAAAAAGAAGGAAAGCACCTTCTTATTAGGGGATTGTTAGGTCATCTTTATTAATTTGCTGTTCTAGGTAATGAAAGAGAAGAGACTATGTTGTCATCTTAACTAGAGAAGAATCAATGGACACCAGTACTCTATCCAAAGGATAAATAGGCTTTGGCCTTTGTTTCACTTTTAGTTGCCATTCATTAGTTACTGAATATTCACACAATTTCTATCTATGCAATTATTGTCGTGTATTTATTTGCAACTGTGTTACTTATATATAGCAAAATACTTGCAATTTAAATAAACAGTAGTTGAAGCAGAAAAATAAACAGTATAACTGTTTTGGAGAGAGGAAATGGTTTTTATTCAAATGTTTTAAATGGTTAAATGAATATTTTCAAATTCAGTAATATATAAATCCAATGTATACAATTCCCAGCAAAGTAAAATAACAAAAACAATAACAATAATAATAAAAATAATATACTATGCAACTCACTGTCTGGATAAGTTGTTTCATAAGAGCTGAGAACTATAAAATACCCATGAGACTACTTATCCTCTTAAGTCATAAGATAAATGTTCAATGTATTGAATATCAGTCCTTTAAAACTTTTTTACATCTTTAACCACATGTATTTCATAAGAGATTTGACATTAGAAATAAAGTCACAAGTTTTGCTCATTAATAACTAAACCAAGTAGTTAATTTTAAATTTTATTTCTGGCTTCCATTTGTATTAGCATGAGAAACAGTGAAACAAAACCAATAATAACAAAAGTCAATGACTGTGAAGTAGACTTTAGGGGCGATAGGATCCAAAGAGTTGTAAAATACAATAAAACAAGAATTATGTGAATTGAATTGACTAAGGTCACTCAGGGAGTAGAGTTGAAGTTTGTTCTGGTGGCCTCGTGGTCAGCTGCTGTTATGCACGTAATTAACTTGATTACCTCAACCTTGTTTGCTCTCAATTCCTTTTGTCACATGAACATTGCTTGAAGGAAGCACACCAGGCATTAAAGGCCAGGCATGCTGTTACAACAAACACCAACATGCTCAGGGGCTTAGAACACCAAAGCCTACTTCTCCCTCATGCTGTGCTCATCACATGTCGGCCAGGAACGTGTCATCCTGCTTTGCGTCACCCTGATTGCTCAGGCAGAGGGAGCCCACCTCTGACCCTTTAATGCTAAGGGAGGAAAGGTGCAGTGCTGCGAACAGTGCTGGATGCTCCACTCTGCAGGGTTTGTGTCACTCCTTTCAGGGTCACTGCCAAAGCCCCACCATGGCCTCCCGAATCTCGAGAGGGAAAGGAAGTCTTGCCATCTTCTAGAGGAAAACAGAAATATTAAGAATTACATTATATGTAAATATGTAAACAGTTATTCATTTGAGCTTTGCTGGGGAAATATTCACTTCATTGTACATTCACTGAATAATGAATATTCATATATCTAGGGAAATGCTACCAGAAATAGAAAGTTAATGAAATTTGATATCTGATTACAGCTCTCTATTTTATGAAATATATTGAGCAGTTTTTCAAAAGAGAAACAAAACAAAGGGCTAGAATTTAAGCTAGATTTAAAAAATCCATTATTACTTTCAGATATAATTTCTTCAAAGATGAACTCATTGATTAAATAATCCTACTCTTACCTGAAAGTTAGTTTTACTTCTTTAGTAATGGATTCAACATATAAACTTGTGTTATATGAATTGTTTGTTTTATTTCAAAACTTCCATTCTTTGTGGCAAGTAAAGAAAAGGTGAGTTATTCTAGCGCGTAGACTATCTAGACATCTGAGTGGAAATGGCAGCTCTCACTAAAATCTCTAAAAGTTTGTAGGGGAAGGAAAGTTAGAAGTCAAGCTTCCCCTTCATGGCTTAGGACAGGAATGCTATGTCAGTTCATTTAAACATTAATATTTGCAGGTGCCACACAGCCTCTGTAAGGTTAGTGTCCGAAAGCAATCTACACAAAAACAAACACTATTACAGTTTTAAGAATGGATTTCTCTGGAAGCTTTAAAAAGTCATCTGGCTCAAGCTTTGTTAGGAAAGGGGAAAAAAGTTGAGTAAGAAATTCTGAGGTGTATATTTTAACTTTTGCACCTTTAGCTGTGTGGCCCTGCACCTACAGAGTGCCGTGCACCTCCTCTGCACAGGAACTTCTGCTCACACTCTTGGGGTCATTCCGCTTACCACACACTTTCCAGGGCATGTGACAGCAGCTCTGGGGAATTCCATTTGTGATAAATCTAATGAGTAAAATAGTGATTTGTAAAGCCTTTGGGAAAATTCATTATTAGTGTTGAAATAATCATTTAAGCCTAATTGGCTGAGACATTTGAAAGGAAGAGAAAGGCGTATTCTTGACTGTAATTACTTTGGATGTGTAAACTTGGGTTATATCATCATTTCTAATGCAATCAAATAAAGATTAACTTATTTACATTTCTATAATTTTATGAATGGATTAATTGTCTGTTAACTTTTTCTTAAATGATTTAATAATATATTCCTTTCAGGCAAAATAATATTCAGTCCAATTACTTATCTCAGAGAGTGTTAACCAAAGTTACTAAATCATCCGTGTTAAATGAATAAATGTCTTTTTATAGAGGCTTTCAGCTTAATGATAGTTATTCTGACTGATTTGCATTGATCTGGAGTCTAGAGATGTTGAGCAGTTTTTGACCATTTGAACTTCTTTTGAGAAAGATCTATTCAATTCATTTACCCATTTTTAATGGATTCATCATCATAGGGAATTAATTTTTAAAGTTCTTTATATTATATATATATGTACATATATATATTCATTATATATATATATATTAATTCTCTCATGGAAATAAAAACTAGTACAATCTCTATGGAAATCAATACAGAGATTTCTCAAAAGACTAAACATAGAATTACCATTTAACCTATTATACCATTCTTGGGCATTTTCCTGAAAGAAATAAGGGCTTCATAGTATAAAAATCTATGTATATCAGTGTTCACAGCTGTGCTATTCACAATGCTAAGCTATGGAGGCAACGTACATACTTGTTAAAGATGAATGGATAAAGAATATGTAGTATATATCACAGGAATATTCCTCAGCAAAAAAGAATGAAATTATGTCATTTTTAGGAAAATAAATAGAACAGTAACCATCATACTGACTGAAATTAGATTTAGAAAGTTAAATATTACAAGTTCCTCTTATAAGAGAAACTAAAATATATCAATCAGTAAATACACAAATAGGTAAAGAGACCTAGAAACTAGGAGGTAGAGGTAGGCTTCTGGAAGCCTGGGGGAAGGGTCAAATGTAAGGGAAGAAGGGGAACATGGATTTGAAATTAACTAAGTTATATTAAATACATATGTGAACTTTCCAGAACAAACTCATCATTGTGAAATATTAATGTGCACTAATACAATATATTTATAAAAATTTTCAGCTTGATAGCCTTTGTGGTGTTTGTACATTTTACATGCCTCACTAATGCTACCAAAAACTTACTCGGAGAAGAATGGGTAATCTCTACTAAGCTCCATGTTAACATTGTGTTCAAGAACTTTTGTCAAATACTGGACAATAAGCCCCTGATTCAATGTACAAAAAATTCAAATTTATGTAGACAAACCCACATCAAAGACAAGAAACATCCCTGATGACTCATGTTGACTGTCAACACATGGATTAAGAGAAACTTAGGTGACTGAATTGTGAGGATGGTAACCTCATCCATGGATGAAGCCACAACTGAGTCCATAGCTAAATGGACTGCAAAGAGTTGGGGCCTTGTCTGAGGGGATGGATCATATAGCTGTCCCTGGCCTCTGCCCTTTCACTGGCATGCTCTTGCTCTCTGTGCTTCCCGGCCTCCATGAAGTGAGCCATTTTTCTCTGCCATTGGCATTCCTGCCTTATCTCAAGCTGAAAGCAGTGATGCCTGAGATAAGGCAGCAGATCATACGCTGAAAGCTCTGAAATCTTGAGCCAAAATAAAATCATTTCTCCTTCAAGTTGTTTCCTTCAGGTATTTGTTCACAGAAACAAGAAGCTAACACTTAATTCCAAGTACCAGTCTCATATATAGGGTAAAGGTGATTCTAAGCCACCACTGACGAGAACTACTCTGTCACTTTTGACAACTGAAACCTCTGTGAACAGTGGATGGGTCGATACTTAGGCTGTGATTCCTTGAAGAAGATACAGATTCGGCTGAGGAAATATTGAAGTGTCCATCATTAAATAATGACATTTCAATTAGCCATTCCTCAACAAGCTGCAATGAAATATGAAACAAACACTGACACACTGCTGTAGTGCTAATTTGTACTTTTTAAAATGATAAACTTAAAAATTTATACATATGATGACCCAGAAAAGTATTGTTTATAAACCCTTTTTATATTCAGGCTGGATTAGTATAAAGTTGATAATATCAGATACTCTTATACTTCATTTTCATTGCACCATGAGAAGTGAATATATATTTGTCTATGTAATAAGCAGATGTCTTTCAAGTATATTGTGCTTAGTAAATCCCATTAATTAATTTTGTCATGCCTTCTTTACTCCACCTTTGAGAGCAAAATCTTAATTTTTCTCTCACAGCACAAAAAATGATCTAGATGTTGAGGTTTTTTTTACCATGTAAACCTTCCATGAATCCACTGATTATATCCTTTTTCTGCAACTGTCTTGAAAGTACATTTACTTTAAATTTCTTTTTATCAAATGGTTAAGAAACTAAGGCATGGTTGTTTCTTACAACAGATCCTTCAAGTTCCAGGTAATGATAACAGTGCTGTCCTGTTTCTGCTTATCTCAGTAGCTATTTCTTAGCATTTGTCCAGAAATTTAAAGGTAAACAAGCTTCTCTTCAATCTCATCTATCATAAGCCCAGAATTATATAACATGTCAGAATTATGACTCTGAGGCATTGCAGAATTTTACAGTGCATCCTAATCTTCTAAGAATGATGCAGATTTTTAACAAGTATATTTCATATATTCACAATACTTTGAAAATTGAAAACCAATAATAGATGTATGGTTAAACACAATACTAAAAGATAGTATCATAACATTCTTCAACTATTCAAAGGAAAATGGTCTTTTTCAAATAAACATTATGTCTAGTATTATATCAACCTTCAAAATCAAGAAGCAAGCTGCTTATAATTAAAATATGAAGACAAACTTAATGACAATATATAATGACTGACATGAACTGTCTCCTACCAAAGTCCAAATCTCCTTTTCCATTAAAGCTTTTAGCCACTCCTGGCAGCCCTGGGGAACTTGTGCTGCCCTTGAACCTTGGCCTGCCCACCACATGTCTCCTGCGCAACTCCCGATGGCCCAGGGGAACATGTGCTGCCCTCAGACCTTCGCCCCCACAGCCGTGTGCTTTCTGTGTAACTCTAGCCCACACTGAGGAACAACAGGCACCATGGGACCTTCGCCTGTGCCCAGCAGATGCCCAGACCCAGGATATCTGCTGGCCCCCTGGGGATCTAATACTGCTGTTAATCTTCAGCTCCCACCCTTTCTCTAAGAGCCTTTAACTACAACAGATTAACTGTGCTAGCTTGCAGGGAAATTCAGTAACTGCCTCACCCAAACAGAGGATTACAGCAGGCTCCAGTCAGTGTTGTGAGCATGCCCCTAAAATAGAGTTGTACACTGGGTAAATAGGGCCAGTAGGAATGCTCCCTCCAACTAAATGTAAGACCTTGGGGAGTCTGACAAGAGTGCGGGTGACTCCTTCCTGCACACGGAAAACATCAGGCAGGGTAAAAAGTGCGCCAATAAGGACTCCCCCAACTTGGAGAAAATAAAAGGGGCTTATGAGACACACAGGCACACAATAGGGACACAGTAGGGCCTCAGCGGACACAATCACTATAGACAGGGAGACTTGGTGACCTGGAATAACCTGAAGATAAAGTAATAGCAGGAACTAAAAGTTGACCTACTCAAATACTACAAGGCTTGTCAGCCCAAGAAGAATATAGGGCTCACCCAACAGACCCTGCAGTGGGAAGTCAGGTGACTAGCCCACCTGTTCACTGTGGGTGGGACCCAGCAATTGGACAAACATCAACCTTACATTAGGACCCAAAGATACACACTACCAACAGTTGACACTAGTGGGATTGACGGACCAAATATTAACTCGAAAGGGGAAAATGGCAAACAAAAAAGCAAAATGCAGTCTTAAACATCTAGTCCACCAGGAACAAGTACAGAAGACATTGAAATAGAGGGCTTCAAAAGTAACACACCAGAAATCTCTGAAAAGACTGAGTAAAATAAAAAAACAACTCCACGAGGCTATAGAGGAAATCAAATTAGAAGTACTCTCCCATGTAAAGAAAGAACTAACAACCTTAGTAAAGGAGTTGCTGAGCACAGCTAAAGAAGAAATAGAGAAAAAGATATAGGAGCATGGAAAACTGATTGAAACCTTGAATAAACAATATAGAAAACAAGCAGAATTCATGAAACAAACTCAAAGAGACATCCAAGAAACAAAAAAATTATATTCAAAGCTGGAAAACCTGTTTAAATGAAGCTGAGGATAGGGTTTCAGACCTTGAGGACAGGATTGCAATTAGTGATCATGAAAGGATAGAACTTTTAAAAATAACACAGCAGCATGAAATGACAATCCAGCAGCTTCAAAATGATGTCAAGAGTAATAATATAAGATTAATAGGCATCAGTGAAGAAGCAGGAGTCAATGGAAATGATATACCTAAAATATACACAGAAGTAATAGCAGAAAATTTCCCAAACATGGGAAAAATCTGACATGCAGATATGTAAATAGGATGCGAAACAGTCACACTAACATAAATCCACACCCAGACATATAATAATTAAGACATAATAATTAAGATGTAAGACATACAGCATAAAAACAATACTAAAAGCTGTTAGAGAAGAGATACAACTCACCTATCAAAGAAAGCCCATTAGAATCATAGCAGACTTTTCAGCACAAACCCTCAAGTCAAGACAAGCTTGGAGTGAGGTATTTCAAGCCCTGAAAGAAAACTACTTTCAATCCAGACTGATGTACTCAGAAAAACTTTCATTCAAATTTAATGGAGAAACAAGATACTTCCATGACAAAGAACAACTGAAGAAATTCACATCCACCAAACCAACCCTAGAAAAAATATTGAAAGACATACTAGATAGAGATAAAAATGACCACAATCCCCATAACAACAGGAAAAAGAAACTTCCAGGTAGGACAAGCAATTAAACAAGGGGGAAAAGCAGAAAGCAAACAACTGGAACATAACATGGGAAAGTGGAGCCAGTACATATCAGTGATATCCATAAATGCAAATGGCCTCAGTTCACCTATCAAAAGAAATAGGTTGATAGGATGGATCAAGGAACATGACCCCACAATATGGTGTATACAAGAAACATATCTGACTCAAAAGGAAACTCATAGATTAAAAGTCAAAGGATGGAAAATGGTATTCCATGCAACAGGAACCCAGAAAAAAAAGCAGCTATTCTATTTGCAGACGTGTATTTCAAACTTAAAATGATTAAAAGAGATAAAGAAGGTCACTACATACTCATTAGTTGGAAAATTCAAGAGGAAGAACTAACAATTATGAATATATATATGCATGAAATACAGGAGCACATGACTATATAAGACAAATACTAATGGACATGAAAAAGCAAATACACAAGAACACAGTTCTAACAGGGGACCATAACAGCCCATTGTCACAAAGAGACAGATCAACTAGACAAACAGCAAAGAAATAATAGAACTAAATCATACCTATGACCAATTGGACTTAATAGATGTTTACAGAGTGTTCCACCCAACAACATCAGAATACACATTTTTCTCAGCTGTTCATGGGACATTCTCTAAAATACACATATATTATCCCATAGAACATTCTTAAGTAAATGCAAAGGTATTGAAATTATCCTGTGTGTAATATCTGACTGTAGTGCACTGAAATTTGAAATCTATGGAAAAAGAAATTGGAATGCCTGCATAAATACATGAAACTTAAATAATAACCTGAGCCACCAGGGGAATCCAGATGAAACTGAAAAATAAAACAATGCATACAATTCAATGAAAATGTGGAAACAACATAATGTAATCTGTGGGATGCATTAAAGCAGTCTTCAGAGGGAAATATATAGCAATAAATTGTCATATCAAGAAAACAACGAACACACACAATCTAATGTTTCATCTCAAGCTTCTAGAAAAAGAAGAGCAAGTTAAATTCAAAGCTCACAGAAGAGAGAAAATTGTAAAGATTAGAGCAGAAATCAATGCAATTGAAATTATAAAGCAATACAAAGGATTAATGAATCAAAAAGCTGGTTTTTTGAGAGAATAAACAAAATTGACAAACCTCTAGCTTATCAAGAAAAAGAAAGAAAAAAACC